ATCACTTCCACTTCTTTTTGCAGCCAAGGCATCATAATTCAAACATATAGAAACCATTGCCAATGACCATAAGCGAGGAGAGAGACAAGCAAGAATACGGTACAAAACCTGCTCTATTACAAGCATAATGTTAATTCGTTTTCACCACTCTTTTCAAGGTGTACTGTTTAGTCTTGCATAAAAATACGGGGGAAACAAAAATACAGGGATGTAGTCCACAAGACGAGAAGGAAAAATCCAAATAGATATTTATTATTACTTCAATCGACCCCTGTATTATCAAGTTCACTACGACTACAAGCCTCTCTTTAGCAAAACTTTGAGTTTCTAGAAATAAATAATTGATTGGGCTCCTAAAATTATGGAAATAAGATGTTTATAAGCTGCTTTAATCTTCCAAGAGCATCACAAAAGTTGGATGATTACAACTTGTGCAACAAACTGAAGAAGCATAAAACACTCATAAAACTTTCACTCAGAATTGCCGCTCGATATGTACAAGAAACTCAGAGTAGGAGGCCACTCAGATTCTTGTCATCTGATTTGAAACTCTTTGATTTGTGCTCCATGCAATCCCAAATAAAAATCTCATACCTGTGAGCTGAACCAAGGCAGCTTGAAACTATCATGACATTTTCATTTGAATTTGCCGATGAATATGTACAAGAAACTCAACATAAGAGGGGCCAATTGCGTTCTTGTCTTCTACCATGCATGAGAAAAACAGCATTCCTGAAAATGTAACAATTAAATCATGAGAATGTTTTAACACAGTTGCTTTTTCTTTTTCTCTAAAATACAGAATTTACTCTAACAATAAAAAACCAGCAAGCATAGAGGCAATAGTCCAGAAACTATTTGCTTCATGCAGACAACCACAAAACACCTAGTCTCTCTCTCTCTCTCTCTCTCCATGACACAGACTGAGAAAACTTTAAATGATGCAGGTTGGAATAATCTTGGGGTAGGTTAAAATTATGTAAAACGGAAAGTGCACAAAAAAGAGAAAAAAGGCCTATATCTATATAAGAAATAGAAATCCATGGCTATTTTGGTTGAACATTCCATACAGGTTTTTTTTATCAAGCAGTATCATAGTTTGCATAAGAGGGAAGTTCTATGTACTGACCTGATGGATCCCCCTTCTTGCACAATTTCAAGCTGCAAAAGAATAGAAAGATAAAATGTATTAATTAGAGATATCTACTTCAATTTTCTGTAGAAGAGATGTAATAAACCTTTCTTTTATAAATAAAGTAATGCTGCAAAAAGAACAATTATTCATACCGAAGGTAAGAACATCTTTGCTGCCGAATCGCATTTACTACATCATTGAACTTCTTGGATAATGGATTGTCATATTGCTGCATCACAAACTGAACATGCAGAAATATTTACAAAATGGCATGTCTTTACTTGGCAGGTGAAGGACAAAAAAATGTAAAACAAAATACCTGAGTGGGGACTTCATCAACTGAGGTAAAGCCAAAAAGTTGTTGTAAAATACTTGAATCCACGGAGCACCCAAAGTATATTAAAGCATCCTCACCATTCTCAAGAAGATAAATTCCATCATCGCTGATATGTTCACTAGAAAGTGGGATTATAGGAGGAAGAACAGACTCATCCCCTTCCTGTCCAACAAGAAGAAAATTGTCTGTTAGC